GTGGGGCTGCAGTTCAACACATCTTTAAGGAGCAGAGGAGCAGCAGACTCCAGACTCCACACCTCCAGGCAGCTAGTAGCATCCTACTGGTCCTTGTTGGGTTTACACAGCAAGCCTGTGACTTTTAATAATAATAATAAAATGCCATTTAGCAGACGCTTTAATCCAAAGCAATTTACAGTCATGCGTGCATACATTTTTGTGTGTGGGTGGTCCCGGGGATCAAACCCACTACCCTGGCGTTAAAAGCGCCGTGCTCTACCAGCTGAGCCACAGAGGACCATTCATGGCTTTTGAATGAGACAGACTGAAATAAGGTCTAGTCAATAAGGAGTGGAATGATAGTCTACCCAGTGTTTCCCCTGTCTTCATTTAGCAACAGTATATATATGCTCCGACTTCAACTTTATATATATAAAGTTGAAGTCGGAAGTTTACATACACTTAGGTTGGAGTCATTAAAACTAATTTTTCAACCACTCCACAAATGTCTTGTTAACAAACTATAGTTTTGGCAAGTCGGTTAGGACATCTACTTTGTGCATGACACAAGTAATTTTGCCAACAATTGTTTACAGACAGATTATTTCACTTATATTTCACTGTATCACAATTCCAGTGGGTCAGAACTTTACATACACTAAGTTGACTGTGCCTTTAAACAGCTTGGAAAATTCCAGAAAATTATGTCATGGCTTTAGAAGCTTCTGATAGGCTAATTGACATCGTTTGAGTCAATTGGAGGTGTACCTGGGATGTATTTCAAGGCCTACCTTCAAACTCAGTTCCTCTTTGCTTGACATCATGGGTCCTGTGTAGCTCAGTTGGTAGAGCATGGTGCTTGCAACGCCAAGGATGTGGGTTCGATTCCCACGGGGGACCAGTATGAAAAAATGTATGCACTCACAAACTGTAAGTTGCTCTGGATAAGAGCATCTGCTAAATGACGTGAAATCCGCCAAGACCTCTGAATTTTTTTTGTAGACCTCCACAAGTCTGGTTCATCCTTGGGAGCAATTTCCAAACACCTGAAGGTACCACATTCATCTGTACAAACAATAGTATGCAAGGATAAACACCATGGGACCACACAGCCGTCAAACCGCTCAGGAAGGAGACGCGTGCTGTCTCCTAGAGATGAATGTACTTTGGTGCGAAAAGTGCAAATCAATCCCAGAACAACAACAAAGGACCTTGTGAAGATGATGGAGGAAACAGGTACAAAAGTATTTCCCAAACTTATTGTGGAAGGCTACGTGAAACGTTAAACATTTTAAACATTTTAAAGGCAATGCTACCAAATACTGATTGAGTGTATGTAAACTTCTGACCCACTGGGAATGTGATGAAAGAAATAAAAGCTGAAATAAATCATTCTCTCTACTATTATTCTGACGTTTCACATTCTTAAAATGAAGTGGTGATCCTAACTGACCTAAGACAGGAATTGTGAAAAACTGAGTTTAAATGTATTTGGCTAAGGTGTATGTAAACTTCCGACTCAACTGTATATATACAGTGCCTTGCAAAAGTATTCATCCTCCTTGGCATTTTTCCTATTTTGTTGCATTACAACCTGTAATTTAAATGGATTTTTATTTGAATTTCATGTAATGGACACACACAAAATAGTTCAAATTGGTGAAGTGAAATGAAAAAAATAACTTGTTTCAAAGAATTCTAAAAAATAATTTAAGGAAAAGTGGTGCGTGCATATGTATTCACCCCCTTTGCTATGAAGCCCTAAATAAGATCTGGTGCAACCAATTACCTTCAGAAGTCAGATAATTAGTTAAATAAAGTCCACCTGTGTGGACACATGAGCTGTAACATGATCTCAGTATATATATATACCTGTGCTGAAAGGCCCCAGAGTCTGCAACACCACTAAGCAAGGGGCACCACCAAGCAAGTGGCACAATGGAGACCAAGAAGCTCTCCAAACAGGTCAGGGACAAGGTTGTGGAGAAGTACAGATCAGGGTTGGGTTATAAAAAAATATCCGAAACTGTGAACATCCCACGGAGCACCATTAAATCCATTATTGAAATATGGAAAGAATATGGCACCACAAAAACCTGCCAAGAAAGGGCCGCCCACCAAAACCCACGGACCAGGCAAGGAGGGCATTAATCAGAGAGGCAACAAAGAGACCAAAGATAACCCTGAAGGAGCTGCAAAGCTCCACAGCGGAGATTGGAGTATCTGTCATAGGACCACTTTAAGCCGTACACTCCACAGAGCTGAGCTTTACGGAAGAGTGGCCAGAAAAAAGCCATTGCTTAAAGAAAAAAAATAAGCAAACACGTTTAGTGTTCACCAAAAGGCATGTGGGAGACTCCCCAAACATGTGGAAGAAGGTACTCTAGTCAGATGAGACTAAAATTGAGCTTTTTGGCCATCAAGGAAAACGCTATGTCTGGAGCAAACCCAACACCTCTCATCATCCCGAGAACACCATCCCCACAGTGAAGCATGGTGGTGGCAGCATCATTGTCACGATCGTCATAATGATTGGACCAAGGCGCAGCGTGATATGCGTACATCTTTTTAATAGAGTACTGGCAACACGATACTAAATACAAAACAACCAAACGAAACGTGAAGTCCTCGGTTAACAACACAAACCAACACGGAACAAGATCCCACAAAACACAAGTGCACAAAAGGCTGCCTAAGTATGGTTCCCAATCAGAGACAACAAGCAACAGCTGATTCTCATTGCCTCTGATTGAGAACCACCCCGGCCAACATAGAAACACAAAACCTAGAACAGAACATAGAAAACAAAACATAGACACTACACAAAGAAACTAACACCCTGGCTCAACATACAATAATCCCCAGAGCCAGGGCGTAACAATCATGCTGTGGGGATGTTTTTCATCGGCAGGGACTGGGAAACTGGTCAGAATTGAAGGAATGATGGATGGCACTAAATACAGGGAAATTCTTGAGGGAAACCTGTTTCAGTCTTCCAGAGATTTGAGACTGGGACGGAGGTTCACATTCCACCAGGACAATGACCCTAAGCACACTGCTAAAGCAACACTCTCGTGGTTTAAGGGGAAACATTTAAATGTCTTGGATTGGCCTAGTCAAAGCCCAGACCTCAATCCAATTGAGAATCTGTGGTATGACTTAAAGATTGCTGTACACCAGCAGAACCCATCCAACTTGAAGGAGCTGGAGTACTTTTGCCTTGAAGAATGGGCAAAAATCCCAGTGGCTAGATGTGCCAAGCTTATAGGGACAGACCCTAAGAGACTTGCAGCTGTAATTTCTGCAAAAGGTGGCTCTACAAAGTATTGACTTTGGGTGGATGAATAGTTATGCACGCTCAAGCTCATTATTTATTTATTAAGCTTATTTCTCGTTTGTTTAACAATAAAAAATATTTTGCATCTTCAAAGTGGTAGGCATGTTGTGTAAATCAAATGATACAAGGTTCCAGGTTGTAAAGCAACAAAATAGGAAAAATGCCAAGGGGTGAATACTTTCACAAGCCACTGTATATATATATTACATGACCAAAAGTATGTGGACACCTGCTCGTCGAACATCTCATTCCAAAATCATGGGCATTAATATGGAGTTGGTCCCACTTTTACTGCTATAACAGCCTCTACTCTTCTGGGAAGGCTTTCCACTAGATGTTGTAACATTGCTGCAGGGACTTGCTTCCATTCAGCCACTAGAGCATTATTGAGGTCGGGCACTGATGTTGGGGGCCATTAGGCCTGTTCCATTTCATCCCAAAGGTGTTCAATGGGGTTGAGGTCAGGGTTCTGTGCAGGCCAGTCAAGTTTTTCCACACCGATCTTGACAAACCATTTCTGTATGGACCTCGCTTTGTCCATGGGGGCATTGTCATGCTGAAACCGGAAAGGGCTTTCCCCAAACTGTTGACACAAAGTTGGAAGCACAGAATCGTCTAGAATGTCATTGTATGCTGTAGATTTCCCTTCACTGGAACTAAGTGGCCTAGCCCGAACCATGAAAAACAGCCCCAGACCATTATTATCCTCTATGCATTGGGGCAGGTAGTGAGTGTTGCAACCGAGAAGAGACTATTTTTACGCGCTACACGCTTCAGCACTCGCTGGTCCCGTTCGGTGAGCTTGTGTGGCCTACCACTTCCCGGCTGAGCCGTTGTTGTTCCTAGATGTTTCTACTTCACAATAACAGCACTTACAGTTGACCAGGGCAGCTCTAGCAGGGCAGAAATCTGACAAACTGACTTGTTGGAAAGGTGGCATCCTATGACGGTGCCACGTTGAAAGTCATTGAGCTCTTCAGTAAGGCCTTTCTACTGCCAACGTTTGTCTATGGAGATTGCATGGCTGTGTGCTCAATTTTATATATATCTGTCAGCAACGGGTGTGGTTGAAATAGTCAAATCCACTAATTTGAAGGGGTGTCCACATACTTTTGTATATATACAGTATAAATATATATTTCTGCCGAGACATGCTTTTAAATTGATAGTTGTTGGCTCAATGACTGGAAGTCTATGGGAACAGCTAGCATGTGATTGCGCTAACACTATTACCAATGCACCCAATTTAGTTCTTGTTTGAACTGCAGATTGCCCCTTTAATGACGGTTGATAACAGATAACAGACAGCTCCTGTGTCTATCATTGGCTAGTCTACTATAGACCTGGGTGTACTGTAACTCCTTCGTAGTATCGTAAGTGTTGTTTATTGATGAGGTGCCAAGGCTTCCTCCTTTCTCTCAGCTGCCATGACTTCCATCTCCCTGGGTGCTGTGTGTGACCATGACCAGGCATGGGCGGGAGGTCGTCTCTTTTCCTGCCTCTGTGTGAATTATTCATACTGCCATTGTCAGAGTGGCCCTCACCTGTCAACAGGTGAACTAGAGGGGAGTGGAGGGGGAGGTAGAGGGGAGTGGAGGGGGAGGTAGAGGGGTGGAGGGGAGGGGGAGGTAGAGGGGTGGAGGGGAGGAGGGATGTAAAACTACCCCTTCCCGCCTGACAGACGAATCAGGTCAGCTGTCTGGTCTGTCTGCTCCATGTGGTTCAACTTTTGGCCGTCTGGGCTCTGTGCAGACAGATGCTACATGGCTCCCTTACAGAGCTCCTGCTGGATCACAACCATCTCACAGTCCTGGAGAGCGGGACCTTCCACAGTCTGGACAGCCTCCAGAAGTTGAACCTGAGCAGCAACCTCATCTCCACAGTAAAGCTCCGAGCCCTAGGTTACCTGACAGCCCTGTGCCAGATCAACCTGGAGGGAAACCATCTTACTTCCCTGGGCTCAGGCCTCTTCACGACACTGCGCTCCCTGGTGGTGGTGGGCCTTCAGGGGAACATGATCAGTTACACTGAGCCAGGGGTCTTCACCCCTATGTCTTCCCTAAACCTGCTGGACCTGGTCCACAACCATCTGGGCACCCTGGGCTACAGGACCCTGCTGATCATCCACACCCCCAGCTTCCACGTCCTGCTATAGGGAAACCCCTGGCACTGTGACTGCAAACTGCAGAGGGTGTTCAGGAATCTGTGCATCATCCACAGGGTCTTCCTGGATGACTACCAGGAGCTGAAGTGCAGCGATCCCGTCGAGCTAAAAGGAAGGTCCATGGGAGAGGTGGATGATGAGCTGTGTGTCGGGGGGACCGTGATGGTGCTCATTTTAACGGTCACTGTGGTGATCACCGTGGTAGCCCCATTATCATGGTGGAGAAGAACAAGAAGAATAGCGTGGCCATGGACTGGGAGGAAAGTGTGGGGCTGGACACCTACTGTGACAATGACAATTAGGGCTGTCTACTTCCCATGAGAACATAATGAAAGGTTTATCGCAATGAACAGTGTGAGCTAATTAACTTTATTGATCACAAACAGATTTTATCAGATAATAATTATCCTCAAAGAGGTGTCTTCTTTTTTTTAAAGTGCCGAATATGAAATCCCACTTCCATTAATCATATAATGAAAGGCTTGTTTTGACAAGTTAATATTTTTCTTTGAAGTTGACATTACCACCAATATATCACACACAATGCTATAAGCATTCATTACATTACATCCTTTATTGGTTCATATAGGCTACACATGCTTGCATAATACATTACACACATATAAGATTAATTGAATAGGTTACCAAGGGTTTTAAGATATCAAATTACCTTTTTTTCTCTTCACTCCAGCAGTTGTTTTAATGGTGTTCTGATTAGATTGGTGTTAGTCTGGTACTAGTATCTGAATTATTTATCTTGCTCCACTTCAGCATACACATTTTATCATCATGGCCCACCGATATCGCTGTTACCGTGTCCTGGTTGGCTCCCATCCAGCATGTTTCACAGCTCTACATTAGGCTACTTCTCAGAATGAGGTAAAAGTGATTCCATTAATCCACAGATGATTACATGATTCATTCTGCTGGTTTTGAAGCAGCACAGTCTGATTATAACTAGTATAATTATGGGGATAGGTTACAATTTGCATTTGAATTAGGCCTGCATGGAATCTTAATAATATCAACAACTGAGAAAGCACCCGTAGCTATCTAACAAAAATATCTAATGTATTTTGTGTATATAGCTATATCATAAACAGAACATGCTATCTGTTTCCTATAATGCCAGTTCAACAACTTGATCCAGTTTGTGTAATGTGAAGTTCCAACACTAGAGGGCACTAAAGATGGTCAAACTACAGGTTTTTATTCAAAGGCTTCTCTAAATAGTGTACCATACAAAATTGCCACTAGAGTGTAGTAGATCTTAAGGTGGGAGAGGCATAAATGTCCTACCTGTATTCCGGGAGCTAGTGTTTTTTCACTTCCTTGATTATTCTGTTGCTACTACCTTGTAATTATGGGATGATCAAGATCAAGTGATTTCAAAGACTTTGACTATTATCCATCTTGTTGTCAAGACTACCTGTAAAGCAAACAACCAGGGGTTAAACCACTGTAGTGCGCACATTACCAACATGTTGTCCCATTCATCACAACAACAACAACAACAACAACAACACTCAGATAAGACCCTAAAGGCCATTCAGCTCAGACTCTGTCCTTGTCTCCAGCTGACAAGAGGGAAGTAAGGATGACTGATCAGGGAAGTATGATGTCAGAGAAGGATGTTAAATGGACAGACAGACCGGATTGAATGTTGTCTCTAAGATTAAGATTGAAGAAAACACAAGGGAAATCACTGAGAAACCCCATCAATGTATCTGAATTTGTAAAACAAATTACTTGTGCATAATATTTAAAAATGCATCACTTAAGGCTTTCTGTGCGTTTCATTCCAGGCAACTGCTAAATGATTGTCAATCATGCAAAGTAACTAAAATCCATTCATGGGTTGCTTATTCAAAAGAATACCATTTATCCAAATAATATAAATTGTGAGACTGTGTGATATTTGAGATTACTCAGATAGATGAATAAACCTTTTGTGGTTGTGCATGGATGTGGAAAAACAAGCAGTTAGTGTTTTCCATTTCATATTGCAAAATGCCATTTTCTGTCTGAGATATTGAGAGAGAATACAATATACGAACTGTGGTGACACCTAGAAAGGACAACAAAATCCACTTGAATGTAATAAAGTCGTTTGGTTTATCATCTTACTCTGAGGTACAGCAATAGCTAGAAGAGAGAGAGAAGTCAGACATAAAGAATAATACATAAATGTCTAAAGGCCAACAGAAAACCACAAGACCAGACTAATGAGCCTTTTGATTTTTCCCTTGGTTTCACTTAAGTCTATAATAAGTCCAGTTAGGCCATTCAATGGGATTTATCTGGCTATAAAAGGCCCCTCACTCTTGCGTTAGTTTAATGGACAAGTGTCCCACTCAGCAGAATCCACCACAACAACGTCCCAGGGGTCAGAATCAAATGGTGGGTAGAAAACATCAACACCCTCTGAAGCCTGGCCAAGCTCATTGCAATTAGGACCAATAATTCTCCCAGGGCATTTACCTCAACTGCAGCCAGCAAACATGGCACTAACTCAGAGGATGGATACGAGGTGGGAAATGCCAACCCAATAGAAAGAAGTGGCATGGCCCCTATCGAGTAGGCCTATTGATTGACCTGAAGAGCACCACAAGCATCTTCTCTGCGCCACTAGACCGGAGTGAAAGATAGTTGCTAATTTTGGCATGCACATCCTTCCGTAGATTAAAAGGACACCTGAAGAAAACTGTACTTTAAATTGTCATGTACTCTGGTACTTCATCCTACACAGCCTATTGTTTGTGTTGAGATTAACAACATGCCATGTCATTCCATGACATTCTTAGGCTGTGAAGTATGGTATAATGTAGTTTTCTTCCTGCTTTGTCCACTCCCAAGCCACTAGTATGACACTTTAATCACTCTTAACCCATTCATCTCTCTTCCTCATGGTCTGCGTCTGGCTGTGGGATCCCTCTTTCTAAATCCTGTATCCTGGCCACCAATCTGACACTTCAATTCCACTAAGCTGCCTCTGTCACCATGCACGGTGGGACAGCTCTGTTGTTGTTATTGTGCTGGTTGGATTGTTTCTTTGCCTGGCTGGGAGCATATTGGCCTGCTGTGTTCTGCTTGGCTGGGAAAGCTAGGATTCAGCAAGACTGTTTGTACCAAGATATTGGACAAACATGCCGTTGGAATAAACGACTTTCAAATTATATTACAATGCAGAACAAGGTTCAAATGCTCAAAGACTTGAATCAGAGGTTTGAGTGTTAAACGTCTTTCATCTCCATAAAGCAGACAGTTTTCTTGCTCTGATTCTTCCCTGAATGTCCAGAGGTGCCTTAAGGATTGTGTCCATGACAATCTAATCGGCCACCTGTCCCACAGTAACCTTTAGATCTGTGCAAAACATTGTGGTGACTGGCGAGGCTCTCTGTTGACTTTTACACTGTGGTCTATTCCCTCTGAACTTGTCAGGCAAACAGAAGAAAAGGGAGGATAAAGATTTTACTTCTCACCAAGATGGGGTCTTGGCCTGGGTCTGGGAACTTCTATTGTCAGGCAAGGTCAAAAAGAAATGTCACACCCCGGAAGCCACATGCAGTTTGAGTGTAACTGACATCAAGCCATATGCTGAATATCGACTCAGTTAGCCCCTTGGCTCCCGTGTCCGTAGCAACACCGAGGAGGTAGTTGTCACAGCCTGTTCAGCTTCAGTGGGCTAACATGATTCATCTGAAAGGCCATTTCTTCCACAGCGGGCCAGAGAGAGCATTGAGGAGTGGAGTTTGAATGCCCTTGTGTACAGTGGCTGATAATTATATTATTGTTTTGCTATTGTATTCCTGTTGATGTAATTTTACATGACCCAAACATAAGCTGTGTATGAATTTTTGTTTATATTGTATATTTACTGTTGTTTATGACCTTGAAGACCTACTCCTGAGTGGCGCAGTGGTCTAAGGCACTGCATCGCAGTGCTAACTGTGCCACTAGAGATCCTGGTTCGAATCCAGGCTCTGTCGCAGCCGGCCGCGACCGGGAGACTCATGGGCGGCGCACAATTGGCCCAGCGTCGTCCAGGGTAGGGGAGGGAATGGCCGGCAGGGATGTAGCTCAGTTGATAGAGCATGGCGTTTGCAACGCCAGGGTTGTGGGTTTGATTAACTGTAAGTCGCTCTGGATAAGAGCGTCTGCTAAATGACTAAAATGTAAATGTAAATGTAAGATAATAATACGTACTCTTTTCCCCCAATAAGCTTTCTCAGGATGCCTTTTAATAGTGCATTGATTTGGTATCAGAAAGTTAACACATTTGGCAAAAGGAACCTAACTAAATATCCTGTCACTGCAGAGACCATGCTTGATCTATAATCACAATCTACTAGCAGGACTTCCCACACATCTCTAACCTTTTCTTTAAAAGTGTTCAGCAAATAGTCCTAATGCCGCTCACTTATCAGGCTTCTCAGTGGTTTGGATAGAGTGCCTGTCTCATTTTGATGACACTCCAATGTGTCTTCTTTGTTGGGCTGATGGCCGTGACTAACTCCATCAGAGTCTGGGAGGGAGAAGAAGGGCCCACCACAGCGAGGTTCATAATAATTGGATGCGCATAAGAGCCAATCTGTTTGTCATTAGCTCTTTCGCTTTTATCACTCAGGCTAAAACTCTTCAGGGTGAACTAAGTGTTTGTAGTGGAATGGAGGACAGAGGAAATAATAAACGACTCAACTTCTGTATAGAAATAATACATCAATAGGTGTTTATTCTACAAGGAGTACTGTGCGGTCGTGTGTGCTTGTGTGTCTGAGCGTGTGTGCATGTATTTGCATGTGTCTCCTTGTAGAAGAGGTCCCTGAACAGATCCCAGGCCTGTGAGGCTCCTGGAAACATGAGGAGTTTGAGCTCTTCCCATCTCCCTTGAGAGTGCTTGAACTCCTATTTCCTGAGAGACATGATACACTTCTGATGAACAGAATTTCAATGATTTTGGCCTTGCTGAGAGCGGGGAGATGTCTCATATCACCGCTCACAGTGAGTGTCTTAAGCTATATCCACAAAATGAACAGACTGCTATGGGACTGGTGTCAAGGGATGGATACAGACGATGTCAATTTTATACATTTGCTTTTACTGCAGGATGAGATTGAGCTATCATGGGCAAACACTGATCTGATGATGCTTCCCCTTGCAGAGTTAACATCCATCAGTATTTCCTTGATTTGTATTGTGATGTATTATGTAATGAATCAAGATAAAGTATACCATTCCTATATGAAAGTGTTGTTTATCTGCAACATAAAAACGTGGTAACACCCTTTTGTCCTCACTGCCCTTCGTGGTATTTTACAATA